TTAGAGAGATATAGTGCCTAGAGTTACGTTAACCCTTGAAAACAACATTTTTCACAGGTTTGGGTCCCAACTAGTTATGCACCAACGGAGACTCTTGCAGAGTGCCAGCAGCATACAACTCGAATAAACAAATACTGTACATAAAATAAACTTGGTTGACAGCTGGGGAAGAAAGGACCCGGGCCAATTAGAAAGCTGAAAGGTTTAGGGCCATCAATGGAACAAAAAGCCACTGCACCCTGAGAGAAGTGTCACCCATTTTTTTCTGAACTTTTGCTCCTGATTTTACTTGTTCCAAGGCTCTTAATTTCTCATCCCCTTTTCTTCTTAAGAGAGAATGAAAGACTTCAGGATGCGTATGAACCCGTCCTTCTCTTAACTAATTTCTCCCTGCTGAGCCTTTTCTGAATCATCTGTGTGGCTCTTCTGATTTCTGTTGGACCCACAAGAATGAGTTATTTGGATCCCTGCATTGAATAAAGTGGACACAATATGTTAGTTTCTCTTTTAATTATATTGTGAACTATACACTTTGCTCTATGGACTTGAGAACTCTTAAAGCTGCGTCTAAAATACTCAGGACTAGGGGGACTTTAAGTTGGGCTAAATAATACTTCAAGCAGCTACTCATTATATAGACCTTGATTTTCTATGCCATAGATATTTCCATTTAAAGTGTTAATATAGTTCTATACTGTGTCCATTTAAACAGCTTTAAGTGAGAATGGAATCACAGTCTGCTTTGCATGGAAAAATTTCTATATGTAATAATTAATTCAATTTTTGACACATTATCCTTCCCATGTGTAATATTATCATTTTCTTCATGTAAAATGTTGCTGCACTTACTTTTACTTGAAAATGTTTCATCTGTTATAATCTTTAAAAATGTTCATGATTTCTCCCTATTCCTTTTATTAAACTTCAATAAATGTGTTATATATGATTTACCTGCAAACAGGTTTGCATTATTTCTGGTTATACCCTCCTATTCACTGGGGTGAAAAGATCCATATTTTCAGACTTTACTTTTCTTCTTTATCCTTGCTTTAATACAAGAACAAACCAGACCCCTCTTTTGAGCACAACGAATTCTTAAAACAGACCATGCTCACTCCAACTCCCAGACTCTCCTGGCACTGAGGCTACAATCACATTGGCAATAAGAACCACATTTAAGCATTATTTAAATCAATTTAGATTTTATCGTTCACACAATGCAAGGGTGAAATTGATTTACATGGGCTGCACGGAGTTTTTTTTTTTTTTCAACTGGCTGGCAGGGGCTGCTGCACGTGGAGAGTTTTTTTTTTCAACTGGCTGGCAGGGGCTTTTAAAATACTTCATTTCTAAAACTGATTCAGTTCAGTGTGCCTTTTGTGAATGTGAATGCTGCCATTATTTTAATTTGAGGCTATGTTGATTTTGGGTGGCAGGGGCACTGCCATTTTTTAATTTTTTTAAAAAATCTTTCTTAAAATACTTATCACTGCATCACTCCATCAATACATTTGACATTACACCTCTTACCTTGGTTTCCCCATTAGGCTGATGGAAGAGCCACTGGAGCAGCAGAAGGCCAGTGGGTGCAAAGCAGGTGCAGAATAGGGATGTGTATGCATAGAGGATGGTCCACCCCATTCTCATTTTTTCACCATTAATTGGCTGGGGTCACCTCTCCAGTCTTCCCTCCATGGTTTCTAGAGACTATTATGACACCCAGTTGCACCTCTTCAACACCCAGTTTATTGATGTATCATTTACTTCTTTAAAAATAAAATAAAATAAATAAAAACTTTCAAGAACAGTACTTAGTCAAAATTGCCATTGTGACCTTAGTCTGACTCTCTCACCCATATCTCCTAAAATACAAAACAGATCATCTTTAGCCAGGAACCATATAGACCAGGGGTCTCCAAACATTTCACTATGAGGGCCACATTTTCGAGGGCTGAAGGAACGCGTATGTAGGGATGCACGCACGCCTGCATGGGCCGGATAAAAAGGCAAGGCGGGCCGGATGTGGCCCGCGAACTGTATTTTGGAGACCCCTGATACAGAACAATCGGCTCACAATCATAACCATCACTTCTAGCACACATCCTATAGGTAACTGCCACTCAACCCGTTAGCTACCATGCAGACCTCTACACAGTGCTAAATTTCCACACTGCTAGGGAACATTTATATAAACTGCAATAACCATGATGGGGAAGAAAGCACTTGACTTATTCTCACAGTGAACAGGAACAATTTTCCCTCAGCGTGCACTGGCTTTTTGTTCCACTGACACTCCTAGAGTCTCCTACTTTCTCACTGATATTGGTTCCTTCTGCCTTTGTGGTAAACAAAAATTATGAAAATTCCTTATCCAGGTGTCCCATCATGTCAAGATAGCCACAATCTACAAGAACAAGACATTTAGTGAGTATTATTTATCTACTTAACTTACATGGAACTCAGCTGTACTCTAGTCTAGAAGATCAGTGGAGAAATGCTCAAATTGGTGAAAACCACACCTGCCCAGTTTACTTTACTTCTGTCTTCAGCTACTTTTTAAAAAATCTTTATTATGGTCATTGACCAAAATGGAATACTATTACTACTACTGGAATGCACTTGCAGAGGTTATTAAATTTGAGTTTGGCCCTCAGACCAAAATACAAGTAAAGGCTATTCTCAAAGGCTTTCACAGCCAGGATGTGATGGTTGCTGTAAGTTTTTTGGGCTGTCTGGCCGTGTTATTGAGGTTTTTCTTCCTAATGTTTCACGTTTCTGTGGCCAGCATCTTCAGAGGACAGAAGTCAGAACTCTCTCTGTGCTCTGGTGCAGTTTGTGGGATAGTTGAGTATTTATAGCTGAGGGATCAGCTTTTGTCCTTTTCAGGAGATTGGGAGATTATGGTGATCAGTGTGGGGGTTTTTGTGGGTGTATTGTTGTGATAAGGGGGAAGATATGATCTGTCACTGTGATTGATGGGTTTCGTTAGCTAGTCTTTTGTGTGCAGTGATCACCGGTCCTTCTGGGTAGAGTTCATTGACCTTTTGCAGGCTGTATTTTTCAGTGCTGGGAGCCAGGCTTTTTTGAGTTTTAGACTTTCTTCTTTTTTGTTGAAGCTCTGCTAGTGTTTGTGGATTTCAGTGGCTTCCCTGTGTAGTCTAACATAATGATTGCTGGAGTTGTCTAATACTTCAGTACTTTGAAACATAATTTCATGTCCAGCTTGTTTCAGGGCATGTTCAGCTACTGCCGATTTTTCTGGTTTTTTTAGTCTGCAGTGTCTTTCATGTTCTTTAATTCTGGTGTGGATGCTGCGTTTTGTGGTCCCAATATATATGTGGCCACAACTGCAAGGTATCCGGTATACTTCTGCAGTGGTGAGGGGGTCCCTTTTGTCTTTTGCTGACCGTAACATTTGTTGTATTTCTGTGGTGGGCCTGAATACTGTTTGTAGGTTGTGTTTTTTCAACAATTTCCCCATCTGGTCCGTGACCCCTTTGATATATGGCAGAAATACTTTATTTGTGGGTGGCTGTTTTTCCTCTTCAGTTTGGAGTTGTTTTCTTGGTTTGATGGCTCTTGTGATTTCATTCTTGGAAAAGCCATTTGCCTGTAGGGATCAATTCAGACGGGTGAGTTCTGTGCTGAGCAATTGAGCTTCACAGTTCCGATTTGCACAGTCTACCAGTGTGTTGATTATGCCTCTTTTTTGTTGTGGGTAGTGGCTGGAGTTTTTGTGTAGGTACCGGTCTATGTGGGTGGGTTTTCTGTAGACCCACCCACAAATAGGACAAATTAACTAAGAAACTTTCAACTGCCCTAAAAATTCCGTCTTTCTATAGTCTTCTTAATGTTTATCTGCATTAGTTCTTGTGATCTGATCACATACCAGATGCATCTTGGCAAGTTGGTTTAGTTATGCAAATCGTAGGCTAACACCCAAAGTATTTTGGTCTGTATTTTTTGAATGACACAACAGAGATTACCGTATTAACTAGTACACATTATAGTGCCCCCTCAAATATCTTCAATTGCTGAAAATAATCCTCATGTGCAGTTTCAACATATTAGTGGTGGTACTTACATATGGCATATCAACATTATATGTGCTGGGGCCACATTGTCTACAATGTGCTTGATTCACATATATAAGACCCACCTCAAAATGAAGTTGTTGATTAGCAAATCCCCTGCATGGACAACTTCATTTCAGTCTCCCCTGCTCCTAGACTAGGAAAGTATTTGCAATCTGGTTTAAAGCCCCTCACATCAAAAATTATTAAATGTATAATAATCTGTATCATAGGAATAATATCACTGCAGTTATATCTACACTAAACTGTTATAGCAATCTGATACTATTTGAATTGCCATGGTTCCTCCCTCTGGAATTTTGGGATCTATAGTTATGTGAGGTACTCAGTGTTTTCTACTGGACAATTCCAATGCATTTCCCCTGAACTGCAGCAAACTATAAATACCAGTGATTCTATAGAATGATATGTTGGCACTGGAAGTGATATCAAATTGCTATAATGGTGTAGGGTAGATACATCCAATTGTGTGTATACATAGGAACTCCGATGAAGAATTGGTTCTTTCTTCCTTCCCTGCATAGCATGTGTGACCTGGGGGGTTCACAATTCTGACAGCCCTTATATGCATTTTGTCAAGTTTCCCTCATTCACAGAGTTATGACAGCCAGCTGTCAGTCATTCTTGCCCTAATTAAATATAAGGTACTGCCTATTTACTTGTTAAACATCACAAATATCTCAGTGGCATCCTGGAATCCTGATGTCCCTTCTCAGATCTCTTTGGATTTTTCTCTCATTGATTCTATGATGTATCTGGTCAGCAGAATAATTTCCCAGAAAGCAACTGCAAAAATAGAACAACTTCTTTTTTCATTTGATGCAGCAGATAAATGTTTTCTTGCAGTGGCTACTTGTGAGAATCAGGCAGGGCAAATTAGCCTGTTAGTGAACTTATTCCACCAAAGAGTATTGAAAACTTTTATTTATGTAACATTTTTGATGCTTTTCCACATTAAAATTTTGAATTAATACCAAATGCAGTAAACAGAGTAGTGGTACTCTTCTGTCTCAGCAATACATTAAAAATAGAGAGATAACACAGAGATGAAGCCACTGGGCTTGTACAAGTCAGATAACTTGTTAGTCAAAATAAAGAGAGGTTACTGCTGTTGTCATGGGCATGGGCATAAAATCTCTTGAAAGGTGGAAACTGCGACAATAAGTAAGAGAAAGTTTGAGAGAGAGAGAGAGAGAGAGAAAATCACAGATTCCTTGACCTTTAACACTAGCAACATAATCAATAGCTTGAAATACTTGTGAGTAACAGATAAAAGAGACAGCAGGTCAAACAAGCAAAGCTAAATGAAGTGATGGGAGATGGAGAACAAGAAAAAATCTCTGAAGCTGCTTACAAGGTAATTTCTCCAAGTGCTGTGGCAGGAATCCTACAAAATAAAATCAGAGTTAGTGTTTTACTACGTGGGAAAAAAGATCTGAAGTCACTGAGTAGAATAACAAAAGGATGAAGTAATTCAGTTGTGTATAACTAGCATATTTAAAGTTTTCTGAACAGTTGAGTTGGTTTACAATACAAAGCAAGCGTACATGAGAATAGAGAACAAGACCCATAGCAAAGCTTATTTAATATCAAATTGCCCCGCATAGCGACGATAATCCGTTCCGAAAAAATCGTCGCTATATGGATTCGTCGCTATGCGGGGCAAAAAACCCCATAGGAACGCATTAAAACACGTTTAATGTGTTCCTATGGGGAAAAAACTCACCTTTAAGCGAAAATCCTCCATCCGGCCTCCATTTTCAGTGCCTCTAAAGCGAGGCAACACAGCGGGTGGCCATTTTGGAACCACCGATCAGCTGTTCGGCGCTCGCTCTCTCTCTCAGCTGTTCGGTGCTCTCTCTCTCTCAACCCATTGCAGGTCCAGCCTGGGCAGGGAGACTGAGGCCAGGGTCTCCCTGCCCAGGCTGGAGTTGCGAGGGGGGGAGAGAGAGAGCCGAAGTCGGTGGGGGTTTGCGAAGCTGGCTTCCCCGCAATCTTTGCAACCCCCCTGCCCATCAGCTGTGCTTCAGGGCTCTCTTTCGGCGGGGCCTTTGGGATGATCGTGGGGAAGCGCTTCCCCACGATCATCGCAAAGCGATTCCCCCCATTTAAAACATCGCAATGCGATCGCTTTTGCGATTGCAAATTCTCCATCGCTATGCGGATTCATCATTAAACGGGGCGCTCGTTAAGCAAGGCACCACTGTACTCAGGTTTCACTATGACTACAACTAGGTGTATCAAGACAAAAATATGTTTATGGGGAAAATAAAATATTGCTAGACCTCATGATGTTGTCTAAAGCAAAATCTCAGTACTTCTGAAATAGCTCCATGATATTCTCATGAGAGAAATATAGGGATAGTACAGTAGGACCGCTGTAGCAATGGGGGATTGGTTCAAAGTACCTCCTACAGGTGCTGAAAAATACGGAAGTATTGAATGTTATATATTGCATTGTCTCTGGCTCCCTCTAGTGGCCAGTTCTGATAAATACACTGTGGAAATACACATAAGCTATTTCTGGGGGGTTTGAGTGAGTATTTTCAGGCAGCGGATAAGTGAATCAGTGGGTACTGATTCCATGGATAGGGGAGTCCTATAGTATTGTCAAATTATATTGCCAAGGAACAAGCAAAGCTAAGCCCTAAAAGAACTCTTCAGTATTATTCCTCTGCCCTCAGCTCCTCATCCATTTTCCTTCTTCCTTTATCACGTGTACACACATGTGTATGTGCGTGCACGCCCCCACACACACAGGCTGCCCCTTCTCTATATACATACTGGCTTTCAGAAAGCCTCACAGCATTGAAAACCATTAGCTGGTTTGAAGTATATACAGGGACATAAAATACTCATAAAAGCCCTTCTCATTCTCAATTCTCATTTCTGGAAGTAAACAGTTATTTCTAAAATTCAGTCACTGAAGTCAATATTTTAATAGAAGTTCCACTTTTGGAACATTCACCTACCTAGTTTTGATCAGTTTAGCAAATTCATATTTTAGTAGAAATGTTCAGACCCCTGTAGAAATGAGAATCCTAATTAGCTCATGTATCTATTTAAAACATTTAGGCTACCTTTCAGGATTAAATACCTCCAAGATGTCTCTCAATATATACATTCACTGTATAAAAATCAATACAACTTAGATCACAGAGTACAACTGATAGAAGAACCAATAACACCCATTAGACAACATTCAGCCCACTAAAAACTGTAAAACAATTTTAAAGTAGAATTGGCAACTACAGTAGCCTATGAAAATTCTACTGAAAAAAGGCAGCTGTAACTGGTCTTGTACTAGGTATAAATCATAATAGGTCTAGATAAGACTTTAAACCAAACTTGAACAGCAGCACGGATAGGACAGAATGTATTCAATTGAAAGAGAGTTGTAAAGGCATTGATGGGGCCATCACCAAACAGCCCCTATCTCTTGTGTCCACCAGTCTAATTGTTTACACAGACAAACACAAAAACAGGACTTTTGAAGCTGTGGTAAAGTGTGGACAGGCCAGCAGAAGAGAAGGCAAAGGTATTTCCCGGATCTGCTCCCCAACATTTTATATGCTTGAAATATTTGAATTGAATCTAGGACCTCTGCACAAACATAAATTATGAGCAATGCCACTGAGCCAGAGCCTCTGTCTAGGTTTCCTAAATGACCCACATATCGTCTATCCAGAGACATTGTGGGATTCTACAGAGACCCTGGTACAAGATCTGTTTGTGCCTGTTTAACCTACAAATAGGCGCTTTCTCTGAAACAGGCTCTCTTCCTTTACTCCTTTTATATGCTTAACAGATCTTCTGAGACTGCAGAAAGCTCAATATTTTAAATAACCTTGTTAAATTGGAGAGAAAAAAACAGTAAGGGCACAGTTTCTGAGAAGATCAGCACAGCACAACTGTTCTGTCTTCTTGCAAAGACATTTTCCTGACATGGGTAATGAAGCCTACTGTTAGCCTCTTTTAGAGTGGGGAAAAAAGAGAGAGAGGGAGCAACCAGCCTTGCCTCTGCCTATTAAGAGTGTAGCTAGTGAAGGGACTGGGTTTTTTTCATTCCCTACCCCCACCCCCATGTAGTAGTGCCTTCTTCAGATTTTCTCAAAAGAAGAACTTGGATTTTTTTTTATGAAGTGGAGGGGGAAAAAACTTCCTCGCTTTTAAGGAGGAAAGAGACTGCTGCTCATTGATCCTTCCCCCCTCCACCAGAACAGGATCCTATGCCACACATCCCATCTTCCCTGGCTGGCTGCCATCAGAAAAAAACGCATCTGCCTTCGGTTCAGCGGTGGAGAGGGGAGAAGGGAGTGAGGAAATGGGCTTCGGTCCTGAAGGGACAGGTCCTTGCCCCTGTGGTGCAGCACTTGAGAGTGCAGCAAAATAGCATGAAACGTTTTCTTGGGTGCAGTTTGTATGCAGTGCAAGTTATGGGTAGGCATATGCTAGAGTGCTGGGCTAATCACAGTGGTCCCTTATAAAGCTGGGGCTATTCGTATATGAATATCCCTGCACAGGTGAAAATAACTAGGGTTATTTTGCCACTGCTACAGGCTCTGCGGAGGCTTCCTTTCACACTGTTGTCCGCAATCGATTACCCAGTCCTGGCAGGAGGTGGGATAACAAGCCTCTCTGCTAGGTCGCAGAGTGGCTAATCCATTGCGAAGAACAGCACGATAGGAAGCTTCCGTGGAGTTGGCAGCAGCGGCGAAATCATGAATGGACAGTCCGGCCCCATGGGGCCAAACCCTCGTCATTTCCACCTGTGTGTGGATATTCAGATTCGTATATAAAAACGAATAGCCCCATCTCTAGTCCCTTGCACTTTCAAGCCCAATTAGCACTGCTCAAGTGTTCCCTTGATCCTAAGGGCTCTCAGATGGAAGCACTCAGTGTCCACAATCACAGAAACAACCATTTTTAAAGCAATATTTAAAGACTGTCCAAAACAACAAGCATCTGAATATTTCATATTCACATTTCAACAGACGGTATTCTTTGCCAGAATTATACTTGTCGTATTATTTCTGCCTCGACAGATAAACACATTTTCCAAGATCCCTTTCTGTTGTAGGTTACACAAAGAGTGATAAAAGCAGTATATTCAAGGCAATCTAAACCCTGCAGAAGTGAGCAGCTGTCATTTTGTGTTTAGATAAAGTCCTGATTTCTCCCTCTCAAAAGTGACTGCTGAATTTTTATTCATCACCCTGGCTCCATGCCTATTCCAGACAATGAATATTACCAACAGACTATTCAGGTAGTGTAACATTGTGTGTGTG